TACAATCGAAGTTAAATAAATTGATTTTAAGGCATGTAAGAATGTAAGATATAGGGATGTATTTTTGTGTTCAAGAATTTTACTAACGAATTTTCCGCTCAAATAGCGCTTAAAAAATGGAAAAATAATGAAGTAAAAAAAAACACTCCCATATAAATCTCTAAATATAACAATTAAAAATTCTAAAATAAGCTTCTCATTTATCTCTTTTATCAGAGTTTCTATTGCCATATAATTGAAAAAATATAAAGTTGCTCATTTTAAATCCAATTAAGCGTGAAGTATGGAATTTAATAACATCTCATTTACAATGTTTAATAAGTTCATTGATGTTATTAAATGAGGATATTTTTGGCTTCATTATTTTTTCCATCTTTTAAGTACTGTTTAAGTGGAAAATTGTTGGTAAAATTCTTAAACACAAAAATCCATCCCCAAATGTTTACTAAACTTTTCGTTTAGTGTAGGGCATAAATTTCAGCCCATTGGGTTCCAAAAATTAATCCAGCTCTTAGATTAAAACTTATAAAAGATCTTAAGAGGCTAATTTAAGACACATCGCCATGTGACTTTCAGGCTAATTCGCTTTTATGAAGCTATCAAACCACAAGAACTTGAACGTTGTCCTCATTAGTATTATCTCATGTCTTCTTTAGTCATACAAAGGATTGAGTTTGTTGTTTCCATAGTCATACCGTTAGACCATTAAACCTCACTAATAGTTATAATAAAACTATAAAAATCCTTTACATAAAAAATATTATAAGTTATAATAGTTTATTTCAATTAAAATGAAACTAATGTTATTATAATGTCTGTCTATATTAAAGTTTTTAAATTATTCTTTAATCTAATATAGTACATGTAATATTGCTAATGTTAACATTCGCTGCTTTTGATTGTTAAAATTAGCCCTCTTTCTTTTTAAAGCTATATAATAACATATAACGTTTTTATTAATACCAGCTTTCAAAAAAAAACATTAAATCCTATTCTCATATTAATATTTAACTTTCACTTAGTTTCAATAATCGAATAAATTAGCAAATAATTTGGTCAATAATTTTTATTTTTTTTAAAAATTTTAATTTCTATTAAATTTTTGACCTAAAATTTAATAAGGTAATTTATTTATACCTACCTTAATAAAACTATGTATAATTTCTATTATTATAATAATGGAGCTCATATCTTTCTGAAAGCTTCCAATAGTATTATAATAAATAAGATATTTTATAAAAATAGCCTAGTAAAAGTTTCATTATTTATTTACTAAAATAATGTAATCAATGGCATTATAACAAAAAACACATGAAGATGTATTTTTTTGTTTAAGGATTTTGCTAACAATTTTTGCACTCAAATAGCGCTTAAAAGATGGGAAGTGATGAAGCCAAAAAAAACGAGCCCATATTTTATAAACTACTTTAATCCATCAGTACTCGTTTATTTTAGATTATTCGTCATAATAACAGTATAGTTTAAGGCATTAAATTGTGAAACTTCAGAACAAGAAGATAGGCAGAAGAGTTGAATAGGAAGTAGATAATCAAGGTATAAATTTTGATGGACTAACAAAGACCATTGGATATTCCTAGTCTAACATAACAATATGAGAGCATTTTTTTGACTTCATTACTTTTTCCATTTTTTAAGTGCTATTTAAGTAGAAAATTTGTTAGTGAAATTCTTAAATACAAAAATATATCCCTATACCCTATTTTTACTTAATTTTAATTAAAACGCTTTATACAAATCTAGGATAGTTTGAAATAATATATTTATTATAATAATAAAATTATTATAAAATCAATTACGGATGTTATTATATTTATTATATTGTGGAGTTAGTTATAATCTTTGATTCATTCAATTGAATCAACTCATGTGTCAAATATTTAAAACAATATTTATAACCAATATTTAGTATTATGTCCTATTTTAACTATAACTATTTAATTGTACAAATTTAAACATTAATGAAATAATCAAGTGCTTTTGTAGAGTTAACCAAAATAATAGGATCAAATATATTAAGGTTTCAATTTAAAATACCTTTATTTCTATTGTAATTATTTAATTATATTGTTTATTAATACGATTATTATTATTCAAGCTATTTATTTATTTATACATTATTAAAAGTAAATAAGATATTTTCATAAAGAGATAATAAAAGATGAACTGTATTAAATTATTATAGGATAATAAATTAAAAGTGGTTATTATATAATTAAATTGTTATTGTAAAATAGTTTTTATAATGACATGGGGTCTAGTAATAAAATATATGATATAATGATTCTGACAACGTATTTTATCATATTAGTTATATTATTACTTTTACTAATAATTACTAGTCAATCATTATTTCTGATTTTTTTAAAAATAGATTATTTCATAAATAATATCATATATTAATCTATTATAAAGTCCATAGTCAAAATAAACTATAAATTCTCTGGCATTTTTCTTGGTATTTGGGGCTTTTAAACTTTATTGGGAGATGTTCTTAAGGCTTTAGGTCACTAATAAATTATTATTAAAAAAGAGATAATAAAAATGGAAATTATGAAATTAAAAAACAGAATTCAAATTCAAATATTGTTAACTTTGTTTTCTTTTTTAAATTTAAAAAGCTTCCTTTTTTCTTATCCTTTGTTTGTTTTAAATAATGTCGATTATTCAATTTCAATTTTATATATTTTTATTTTTATGGCAGGCCATTATTAACACACAAATAGTCCCATTGTCTAGAGGTTATTGTATATTAATGAAGAATCAAATTTATTATTTAGGTGGTAGTACAAGTAATAATAATAAAGAAATGGAATCAAATAAAAATGTATATGCTTTGGATTTAAGTCAGCCAATTCATTTAAACAATAATCAAGCGCCATGGAAGAAAATAAATAGCAAAATAAATCAAACAGTTGATTGGGATGGAAGTCGAATTCTAACTAAAGATGAAGACAAAATATTGAGTTTTGGTGGCTCCGTAAAAAACATTAGTTTCTTTAATGAATTAAATATAAAAAATATGAGTTTAACTATTTTAAATAAAGAGTCTTTGAAATTACCAGGTATTCAACAAGATATTCATACTATTATTCAGCCTAATTTAGTACAGCATAATAATTTTGCTTATTTATTTGGTGGTATAATAATTAATAAACGATCGGAAAGGGAGACAATTAATGGCCTATATCAATATAATATTACAAAAAAAAGTTGGATGAAATTACAATTGAGCTTAAATAATAAATATGGAACCGATTCAGTTTATATTAATAATACCATCTACTCTGTTGGAGGGTATAAAGAGGGTAAACGCGTGAAATTAGATACAATTGATATCATAAAATTTGATAAAACAATTAGTTTAAGTAACCATAATTTAACAGGAGATATACCAAAATCAACTGCTTACACTGCCGTTTTTGGCGACAATTTTATGTATTTGATAGCATCCGATGATAGCTTTAAACAAGAGAATGAACTTTATATATTAAATCTGATAACATTAACATGGCAAAAAGTACAAATTGAAAACTTACAATTAAGACCCATGGCATGTACAATTGTTTATAAGAATTTCATCATACATTCTTTTGGTGGTGGTATGAATGATGGAATGGATCAAACTCAAATTATAGATATCAATACATTAACTAAAGTATATTCAACAAACAATACACTTAATAATCCAACTAGAGATATAGCAAATAATACTAATAATAATGTAACAATAGTGGATTCAAATTATCAAAAAGCATTGATTGGTGGAATTGTTGGAACTATTGTTTTCATTGGACTGGTTGGATTGGGTTTAGCTTTTTATTATAGGAAAGTTAATGAGAATAAACATTACAACAAGATAATTAAACTACCAACTAATGATGACTTTGAAACACCGCCTGATTATGCCCCTCTTTCTAACCTAGAAACCCCTTACTTTACTCCTAAACTTAAATTGTAATTTATCTTATAAAGTTTTATTATTATTAAAAAAAAATAATTAATATAAAATAAGTGTAACTTCAAATATAAGCTTTGATTAGAATTAAAGTATTTTATTATTTTTGTTGAATTTATTTGGAAGTAATGACTAATTCGAGGAACTAAATAATAATAATTAAAATTACTTTAAAATAAATAGTAAAATTATTTACATCTTCATAACGAATTTGAATAACACCATCCGAATCTGTATCGAAACGACGGAAAGAGTCTGTTAACATTTTAATAGTAACACAAACCTATAAAAAGCAATAAGCAACAATCCTATAAAAGCAATCAAATCAATAAAAACAATTTCTTACTTGAATAAAGTTATCAAAGGTGATGTCGCCTTTTGATTTACGGTCAAATTTTTTAATTAGGAGACCAACAAAACGCTCCGATAAATTATAACCAAAGGTGCGTAAAGCCATTGATAACTCTTGTTTATCAATAGTACCTGAACGATCCCTATCAAAAGATTGAAAGCATTGTTTCCATTGCTCAATATACTGCCAAAGCCCTTGAAACTCATTAAACCCAATGGTACCACTTTGATCTTGATCAAACATATTCACCATTAATCGTACAGTTTCAATATTAAATGGGGACCAATCGCCTGATTAAAGAGGTTGATTTTAAAAACTCGATGTTCTTTAATTAAACTATATAAAATTACCATTAATTAATGCTTTTTGTAATTCTTCAGCTGTAAGTTGACCAGATTTATCAGTATCAACTGCTTGAAACCATTGCCATAATTGTTGTGGATTATTTTGGCTCATTATTTTTATCTATTAATAATTAATAAAATTTGATCTAGCTTGTTCTTGTACTTATTTTACCTTCGATTTTTAAAAAAAAGCTAACCAGTAAATTTTGAATTCATACATATCTAAGAGTCAATCAATGAATGACACAATAATAGAGTAATCAGTTTATTTTCCTTGACAGTTTTCGTGTTATATATTTTTTTACTGTTGATTCGAACAAATAGAAAGTCTCGGGTAGTATAGTGGTGAGTATCCCCGCCTGTCACGCGGGAGACCGGGGTTCAATTCCCCGCTCGAGAGTCTTCTTTTTAAAACTTAAATTGTAAAAATAACATTCTTATAATATTTCAACAGATATCAACGTGTTTCATTTTCAGTCTACGATTCTTCATCGCTTGTTTATTAGTTATACCATCAATAATCTAAAATTTCAAAGATGTCCTAGTATTGCTACAAATAATTTTACCATTTCGTTCATTTTCTATCCAACATAAAATTTTAAAACATTATATACGAATGTCTATTTGTTTAATTTTGCTAATTTTCTAGTTAATAGCGCTTAATAAATGAAAGCAAATAAAACCAAAATACTTTCATACAATAAACCATCTTGTAGTCATGAAATAATTTAAATACAATTTTTCTTATATAGCTTGAAGGCATCATAGACTAAATATGGGGATGCATTTTTTTGTTTAGGAACTTATTAATAATCTTTCCACTCAAATAGCGTTTGAAAAATGGAAAAAGTAATGAAGTCAAAAAGAACATCCCCCTATATTGAGTAATTAAAAAGTTAAATAGCTGACGCGTTTAGTTTCCAACGTCCTCAAGCTGTGTAAGAAAAAGTATGTTTAAATTATTTTAGTAACATTGGTATTAAAACTTGACACAATTTCTTTGGTACTTTCATCTTACTTTTTCTATAATTTTAACGAGTTCCACCCTATAGCCAATGACCAACCTCACTATAAACCTTCAGTTAGAATTTCGAAGCAAACTCAGATTTCCAATATTTAATTCTCAACGGGAAATTTACTAAACGGAAATATCTTACGATTACTTTAAAGCCTCAAATATCAACATTAAATTATGTTAGATTATTTCTAAACAGGTTAACTCATATCAATTTGATTTTCTAAATTTAATATTAACACTTACCCGTTAAAGACTAAATGGTTCCAAACTATGTTATTATTTAACCGGTATCCTTTTAAATATCTACTATTTTGAGTTATGAAAATTAGGGGTATTGAGTAAATGTTAGAGCTGTTCTTTGACTTGTATTATAGTTTATATATTGATAAAAATATTAATAATAATGAAAAGCTAACTTTTAAAAAAGGATAAAAACTTCCCAATCCTACTTTTTTATTATTGACATTATCTTACGATTTAGCTCGAGGTATCGATTATCAAATCTTTGCTTATTTTAGATAATAATTTTTTTACATTATTTACAAGTATTTTATCGAACTGTTCTATACAATAGATTAGATAAGGTAGGGATAGTATTTTATTAATATAATATAAAAATATAAAAATTAACTTATTTCATTTTAGATCTTAAATTAGTCATTTTTAATAAGCCAAGAGTTAGGTATTATTTTTTATCTACATTAAACAAACAAGATATTTTTCATATATAGTAAAACAGTTTATATGTAATATTAAATAGTCGTTTTTTATTAATTTTTTAATTTCTGATACTAAATTACCATATTTTATGAAATAAGGGAGATTGTGACGCCATAGCTAATGGCCAATTAAAGACAAAAAGACTAAAAGGAAAGTTCAAATTAGAAACTGAGGGTGGAAGTAAAAAAGCGGAATAATTGAGTTCCTCAAAAGGACCAGATTCCCAAAAAATTGTCAAAAAGTTAAAACTACAACTTAAAAATAATCAGTTGAAAAAATACATTAAAATATCTAATCAATTGATTAATTTAATATATTAAAATCTATTGAAATCAAAATTAAACTTTATAGTATCTAAATAGTGGCTTTAAAATATTAAATGATGAGGTTAACTAAATATTAAGTATTTTATTATAATTAATAAGTTTTAGGCTAATTTTTTTACTTTTATTTACTAACTTTAAATATTTTAAGTCAATAAAAAAATGCGAAGTTGATCCGAAGTGAAACTAAAAATTCTATTTTTTAGAACAATCCTTTAGTTATTGGAATTGTTACATGTTCTATTTATTAGGCAACTTTATTTTTATCACTTCAAATCAAAATAATTTAAAAATAACATTGGATATATTTATAAACTACTACCCAATCAAATCAATTTGATTCGTAATGATTTCATAATTTATAAAACTGCTCAGCTTTGTCATTGAGAAATCATCCAACATCTTTTTACTAATTTACAAAATCTTATCGAATGATTTGTCGACTCAATGGATAAATTTTAGTATAAAAAGCTAAGCAAAGAAAGGGAATAATCATTTTTCTTTTTATATTTTTTTAAATCGAATCTACATCGATTAGTAATCATTCTACATCAAGCAACTAATTATGCCTGATAGCTTATTAACATACAGTCATAACATAAACAGATCATATTATACTCACAATCCTGAATACAAATTGGACAACCATACAAGTCAAAGAGACAATAGCAATCCACAGGATTTAGAGTCAACATACAACAAAGACAATTATACAGTATATCCAACCCAAAATATACAAAATTTAGGTTACAATATATATGCTGATAATTTGAACCAAATGTATCCGCATTATTTGCCTGGTTATGTGAACAACAATGATAAGCAAATATCCCATCAATATTCTAATAGTGTACAAAATGAAGTTAAAACGGAAGAGATATCCCCACCTATTCACTCAGACTATGATATTAATCATAATTTGAAATCAACTCTATCAGTCCCTACCCCTGTCCTTGATAATCAGCATTCACCACAAAACATAAACCGAGGTTTCGAAATGAATAGTATGCCATCAAGATCGCTGAATTATGATGTCAACGCTCCATATAATTTACCGCTTATCAATAGCTATAACGGAATGAGTCAATCATCTCAGTTCTATTCCCAAAGCATATTCATGAACCCATACCAAGTGATGCAGCCTGCTAGTTACCCTGGATTAACTAATACAATCCCTATGATAAAAGAGCCTATTCTACCTATCCCACAAAAGCTTCACAACGAACAGCCTCATAGTAGTGACTATAACAAAAAATTTAATCAAATTGCTTCCAGCCCTACTAGTACAACTCGTAAGAGAAGTGGACCATTACCTAAGATTATCCCATGTTCTCATCCCGGATGTGAGAAAAAGTTTAGTAGACTTTATAATATGAAGGCGCATTTGGAAATCCATAACCCAGTTCGTATCAAGCAATTTCAATGTCATATATGTTCTCGTCGGTTTTCTAGAAAGCACGATCTCACGCGTCATATCAAAGTAATCCACAAGGCTCTTTAATTGCTAATTGCTTTACTCTAGTGTAATTTTAATATTATTTAACTTGCTAATTAAATTTCTTCAATTGTACATATTTTAATTAAAGATAATTTATACAATATCATAGTTAATTTCTTTGTGGAGTATTTTTCTAGAGTGACTGTTTTTTTGATGTCTAAGGAATATTCATAAATTATACTGTAATTCTTTTAAAATACTTGGTTATTAATTGGTCAAGTTTTAAAGTTTATCCTTGACTCATCTTGGAATAATTTAAAGTCAAAAAATATGAGATCCCAAAAAAAATCAACTAAACGGAAAATAGTTAAAAAAATTTGTTAATAAAGTGGCTAAATTATTCAAGTTCTAAAATTGATAAATCAAATTAAATAGAAATATATTTTATATAAAATCAAAAAATTTATTTCAATTATTTTAGCATAAATAGTGATATAAAAAATATGTTTATTCTATAAATTATAGTTTAAGATCAAGATATTGATATTCTTTCTTTTTCTAATAGGCTAAATAGTAATAAATTTGATATAAAAGCTTTAGTTTATAAATTAATTTTTATAGTTTTTTATTCATTTAAATGATTTTTATTTAATTAAAGTAAAATGGTACAAACAGAACATTTACTTATTAAATACAACAAATTACGCCTAAATTATATATTATATAGCAATAAAAGATATTTAAAGTAATTGTAGAATTTATCTAAAAAACTGTTAATATAATGACAATTTTTGATAGAGGCTTTTGATGAACACTGATTCTAACGTTAAGAATTATTTAATATTCTATTTAAAATAATTGAACAAAATTAATATATTCTATTTATAAAAAATGTAAGATAAGGATAGTATAGTAATAAATCTATAGTTAATTTATACTAATTGAGCTGTGACAATAAATGGTGGAGTGAAGACACCTCCATTTATTATCTTGGATTTTAAAAACTAAGGCTTTTTGTGAAGTTGTGTAAGAATGTATAGGTAATTGGAAAGAATAAAACAAGTATAGGGATAATGTTAAAGTTACTATGGAGGCAAGATGGTGCAGAATGCGGCTAAACAATAAAAAGGGGCTTTTAATTATTTATTGGTGACTTTAAGGTAACCGTGATTAACATGATGGCTTAATTGTTGTAAAACAGTTCTTTTAATATGTTATTTTTAAATTTATCATTAAAATTATCATGTATCTTTTTTATATAACATTTGTTATTTTGTTTTTAAGTTTGACTATTTTTTTATGATAAAGTAGATTTTTTGAATGCTTTTCAATGTCATTGTGCTTTTTTAGTATATTTAATATGAGGATATGTTTTTGTGTTTAAGTATTTTACTAACAATTTTCCGACTCAAATGACATTTAAAGAATGGAAAAATTGATAAAGCTAAAAAGAACACTCCCCTATATTCTGTTTTTATATCAGGAAGGTGATGACAATTCATTTATTTTTATAACTTTAGCAAATAAATACTTGCTTAAAAAGCCTTTGTTTTTTAAGAGATTAAAGAGCCAATAACAACATTTAAAAAACAATCCCACTGTAATTTGAAAAAATAAAACAAAAGATTGATTTGGCTTTGAAAATATAAGATGGGTAAAAGAAACAAAAAGAACTCAATAAAAGAAAAAGAAGTGGATAATGAAGTGGATAAAAAAGAACATAGCATAAAGAGTAGTCAGAGTTATCTTAAATTTATTAGCTTAATTCAATCAAATCGGAACATGATGCGTTTAAAAGATAGAAAGGATGTACCAGAGTTGTAAGTATACTATTACTATTTTAGTGTTATTTGTTCAACCCAATATTAGTTATGTAACACAAACTGTAGTTCCAGAAATTC